GGAGAGAGCGCACGGCACCAGCGCGCACGGCGCCGGCGAGCACGGCGGCAGCCCCGGCGTGCACGGTGGCAGCACGCACGGCGCCAGCGCACAAGGCGCAAGCGCGAAACGCGCCAGCGCGCAAGGCGCCAGCGCAAAATGCGCCAGCGCGCAAGGCGCAAGTGCAAGACGCGCCAGCGCACACGCCAGTGCGAAACGCAGCAGTGCGCAAGGCGCCAGCGCGAGACGCGCCAGCGGGCAAGGCACCAGTGAGAAACGCGCCAGCGCGCAAGTCGCCAGCGCAAAACGGGCCAGCGCGAAACGGGTTACGGGCTCCGCGCCAGGTGGCAGTTATGCATGGTACTAAGGGAAAACAGTTAGTTTTGAGTTAGGACTAGGTATGAGCAAGGAAGTCAGTGTGAGCAAGGACTAGGCGTCAGCAAGTACTAGGCGTGAGCAAGTACTAGGCGTGAGCAAGTACAAGGGGTAAGCAAGAACTAGGTGTGAGCAACTAGGTGAGGACTGACCTATACGAGCAAGAACTAGGGACGAACGAAAGAGCAAGAACTAGGTACAGTACAGTAAGAGGACGAGCAGAATCAAGAAGCACCAACAAGCCCTACCAGGGGCGTATTCGCTTTGCCCCACAAAGCTGAACCAAATACAAGTCAGCACAGTTACTACACCCAAATATTCTATTAAATAGCACGTATTACAATCCGATTTTTGTTACACCACCTCAAGTTTGGTTCAGGTTTGTATTCTCGCACGGAGAGCGAGTCCCGTCGAACGTGAGAGACTGTATAGCATTACAGTCACGAAGCAGATAAAACAATCGTTCCCGCCCGAAACAAAACTGCCGACCTAAACGAATACTTCAGCACTACAACACTTCTTTTATACGAAACCATAAAATATTGCAGTAGTTATTAATGTTACATGTTTAAAATATACCCCCTTACAAAATAATTTAATCTTCTAGTATTTTACTCACAAAATTTCTATGCACAACCCAAATGAAAAGAAAAAGGCGGGGGGGGAATACTAACTTGAATTGTGAACGGGAAAAATGTAGGCATACGCAACCCATCCGACGATTCACGTCGAGCCTTGTTTTATTTAGACTCTGTTTCTCCCGGATTCCCCACCCCCCCTGAACCCTGATTCATCCGAATTTCAGGGTAGTTGATTTATGTTTCATCCGGATTCGGGTACAAAGTTACTTTTAGCCGAGTTACAGCAAACATTGAATCGGACATGTCAAGATGTTTAAGGTCCAAACAGGGTAACATTTGCGGAGTGCCAGAAAAAGAGAATACTTTTGGACTTGCTATGTTAGGAGTGTGAATTTCTTCCGCTAGTTTCATGACAAACCCGCTAAAGTAGGGTAGAATATGTGCCAGCAACCTTCGCAACTTTCCGGGTTGCGGGAAGGGGGAGGAGGGAAATATGGCTAAACGTTTTTAGCCAATTTTTCCTAGCTCCGTGGGCGTGCGGGGTTGTAGGAGGAATTTTCCAGTCTGTGAGGGACGCCAAATATTCAAGGTTTAGGGTGTCCTGGGTGGGAGGAGTCTCTCTGTGTAAAATTCTCTAGGTTTAAGGGAGACTTAGCCAAATACTCTATATTATAGGGTAAATGCAGGAATGTTCCTGCAATGAGGACTAGCTGAAGTTTCGTGGGTGTGGGTAGGAGGACTATCTCTGTTTGGGAGGGACTTAACTATGATCGAGGAAGGAATGTTCCTGACGGTAACGGACTTAGCCGAAAATTCTGGGTTTCGGATGGTGTGGGTGGAAGGAGCACGGTGTGTCTGTGTGTGGGGGACTTCGCCATATTTGCTTGGTTGCGGGGTTAAGGAAGGAATGCTGCTGGAAGTTGGGGACTTAGCCAAATTTTCTGAGTTTTGCTGGTGTGGGAGTTATGTATGTGAGGGACTAAGCCGAATTTCCGGGGTTCGGGGGCTCCGTGGGATTGTTTATGAAAGTTGGGGACTTAGCCGGAAAAATTTCTCTGCCACCCTGGGTGCGAGGAGTGGGGAAGGGGAGGGTATTTCTTGGCAGTTGCAGCCGGATTGCCCCCCCCAGTGAATTCTGATCTTCCCGGAGCCCCCCGCAACACCACATCTATAAAATCTGGAAACCCCAATAACTCTACCCGTTCAAAATCCGGAACGAGCCCAACGCGAACTCTTTATGTTTTTTCATTCTGGGTAATTACCCTTGAAAAATAGGCCCTGTTTTCCATTCCTTACCGAGCGGTACTGCTATCGCGTACGCCTGAACACACCCGAAGCCTCTGGACAGTTCCGGACCTTTCTGACAGAACCGCCTCGGCTACTCCAGACCTTCTAGTTCGACCTTCGGGAGTTCTCCGGGCCTCGCTTCGTCACTTCGAGACCCTTCGATCTCTTTCCCGAACCTTCACATCTTAGGGTTAAACTAGCTGTGGCGTTCCTATAACTTGGCTTGCCATTCTTTGTATCGTCATTCAGTGATTGAACACTTCCTTATTCATTTCCGCGCTACTCTGCTTGTTCATTCATAACACCTGGTATTCAGAGCCACTTTCCTTGCTCACCCGTTTTCGTGAGTTGATTTTTTTTGGGGGGGGTAAGTCCCTCACGTAAGCTGCAAAGCAGTTGCTCGCGAATTAGATTGATTAATTCGCCCAACTACGATAGCTTTTGCGCTTACTTGAGTACAGGCGCACTACGGATTTCCCCCTGCCCCGGCGGAGCATTCGCCAAATGGACCAAGCTCAGTTCAACGAGCTTCGGGAGCAGTTCAACGCCATGAACACACGCATGGCTACAGTGCTGGAGGAGAACGAGCGACTTCGTGCGGAAGTTGCCGAGTTACGCCAGGCGCGAGAGGATTTGCGCCAGAAAACTGCCTCCCAAGAGGAGGTCGCCAGCAACGGTTTGGACGAAATCGCACGTGAAGTGTCTCAGGAGCGCAAGGACAGCGAAGCCGCCGCCGCAGCTGACGTGGCAGCACGGGCAGCAGCCGAAGCAGCAGCAGCAGCAGCAGCCGCCCGGTCAGAAGCAGGTGCTACTGTAGCCGCACCGGCATTTGTGCCAATAGTGATGACAGCGACGATTAAATCGACGATGCCGCCTCCGTTCAACCCCACAGATAAGAATACTACGGTTACGGGCTGGTTATTTTCGGCGGAACTTTATTTTAATGCCGCTGGGATCACTGCTGATGATTTAAAAATTCGGCTGGCTGTATCATTACTGCGGGGACCTGCGCTAGATTGGTGGCGATATACACTACAAAAGGGGGAGTTTTCGGCAGGCGACACACAGGGGTTTTTTCGGAAACTCTGGGTCTGCTGCCCAAGGATCAACCGCGATTTTTGGATCGACTAAGATTCGCACGCGGAAGGCTTGGGGTACAGCTCTGCGTGAACGGTTCGAGCCCATATCCGCCTCGGACAACGCACGTACGAAGCTGGACAACTGGCGCCAATGGAGTTCTGTCCAAGATTGCGCGTCGGTCTTCATGGCGTTATGCGATCAAATCACATACATGCATGACTCCGAGAAGAAAGCTCGATTCATTTCGGGTTTGAAGCAGGACATTAAATGCGAGGTCTGACTGCGACTACCTGCGACGTTTCACGAAGCAGTACGGATCGCAGACAATTTCGACGCACATCGGACGTATGCGAGAGCGGGTTCCCGGGAGGGAAATCGTTTTCGTGGCCAGGATCCACGGCCCACGATTCACGACATAGTGGCGAAGGAGCTCATGGAATATTTTCGCAAGGGACAATGTTTCAACTGCCACTAGTCGGGTCACCAATCTCACGATTGCCCCCGAAAGAAGCAGATAAAGAAGAACGACGAAGGCAGGTCGGGAAACGCCAAGCGCCAGTAACGGTCGGGCCCCCTACTGACCCTGCCTTATCGTTCGAGAAACACCATCCCTACCGGGTAGTGGTCTCGATACACGCTATCAACCGCTCCTGGCTGAATAAGGGGGATGACCTAGTGAACCACCCTGTATTGGCAGAGGGACGACTCAATGGAAGAAAAATAAAAAATATTCATCGACGGAGGGGCGAGTCACAGCCTGATAAATCGAGAGACAGTACGAAGACTACACTTATCGCTGTCGCTGCGTCGACACAGCGGCACAGCGAGCTGAGACGGCGCGGCTCGGCAAACAGAGTCCAGCGGCGTGGCGATGGCACGCAGGGGCGGTAGGAGTTGGGGCCGGCGGTAGCTGGGGCCGGCAGGAGCTGGGGCCGGCGCGAACCGGGGCAGGCGAGCTGGGGCCCGCGAGCTAGGGGGCGGCTAGCGAGCGCGGGCCGGTGAGCGAGCACCGGCGAGTTGGGGCCGGCGAGCGAGGGCCGGCGAGCTAGGGCCGGCCAGCTAGGGCTGGCGAGCGAGGGCCGGCGAGCGATGGCCGCCGAGCTAGGGCCGGCGAGTGGGCTAGGGCTGGCGAGCTAGGATCGACGAGCTGGGGCCAGCGCGCGGCGAACGAAGGGCCAGCGGCGAGCTAGAAGCCAGCTGCGAGCGTGGGCCCAGCAGACGAGCGTGGGGCCAGCGGCGAGAGTGGGGCCAGCGGGCGAGCCTGGGGCCAGCGGTGAGGGCTCGCGCGGCGTGCGCAAGGGCCCGCGGCGAGCGCGGGGGCAACGGGCAAGCGTGGGGCCAGCGGCGATTGCTCGTGCGGCACGCGCAAGGGCCAGCGGCTAGCGTGGGGCCAGCGGGCGAGTGTGGGGGCCAGCGGCGAGCGTGGGCCAGCGGGCGAGCGTGGGCCAGCGGGCGAGCGTGGGGCCAGCGGGCGAGGGCTCGCCTGGCACAGGAGAGGGCGGGCACTAGGGACTAGGGCGATCTAGGCCAAAAGCGCGGGTGAGGGACCTAACCTAGCGTGATACCATCACAGAATAACGCATTGACTGGAATGGATGGTACAAGTTGTCTTTGAAATAGTGAGTTGTACTCTCTAAGAGCATGCACCTATCTAGCCTATTATTACATATGCATATATGCTTGATAATGAGAACAAACAAAGGGATACAAGGTTTATATAATAATACAAGAGAATATGAAGAGTCAAACTGTTTGTGCATTTCGAGGTGTACATTCCCTTTAACGACTGGATAAGGCGACTCGGGTAACCACCCGTACTGTAATATCAAGACATTTTTTTGTCCTTGCTGTCGCGCTGACTTGACTCTTGCAATTCTGACTGTTGGGTTGCATGGTCAACGGTCTGTGACTGTTGCCCTTTCGTAACCTCTTCGAGATGTCGTCAACCTGTGTCAACCGTCAGTGGTACTGTAGCAGGGTTTGACTCGATGGTCGTACTCCATTCTAACGCAGATGCTTCAGGGTTGGTACCGGTACAAGGCAGCACCCTGAAAAATGACGTCCACCAGAGAGTAAAACGTCTGCAATCTGGGGGCCTGATCAGGGCTCTTGCAATGAAGACGTAGAGTGCAGTGCAGTGCATAGGTGGTGGGTGGTAACGGGGGAAGAAGTAGCAGCAGAATCTACCAATAGCCTTCGCTTGCGCCCTCTGAAGTGACGAGCCACGTTCACGCTGCTGCCGGTTGGCACATTACTGAACGGACTTTAAGAAATTCCGCATCCCTGAGGATCAAGATAGCCAAGGGGATAAATGTGTAAAACACGAAATCATTTAATAGTTGCTACCAGTATAGGGATCCATGGGGCAAGAAAATGAAGCGAAAGAGAGTACAAGGGAGCACAACAGAGCACAAAAGAGAGCAAGGGGGCACAGACGATGTGAAATGAGGAGCGAATGTGATCAGTCGCCTGCTTACTCCTTGGCAATCGCATAGTAGGGTGTGGGCGGCACGAAGACGGTCCTGGCAGCAGGCCCAGCGCAGCCGTCGGTGAGGAAGCTCGACATGGACTGGCAGCGAGTGCCGCCGGGGATGTTGTACACGCCGTACTGCGCCGTGAAGTTGGCCGCTACTTCCGGGGGGAACTGCGTGCACGTGGTGAGGTTGATGCGGAACGTGTGCGGCCGGGATGCGTCGCCCGTGGCGTGGTGGTTCTGGATGTACGTCACGCTGATGGAGGATACGGTGGACGCCGCGCCTGGGAATGGGCAGCAGGGGCACGCACGAGGGCAAGGGGAGGAGGGGGCACCCAAGTGGGGAAGGGGAGGACGGGGCAAGGAGTGGGCAAGGGGATGAGGGCGCAGGGAGTGGGTTGAGAATGTTTGCGGTGCTGGTGGGTGACAGTGCGGACTGGGGGGCTGTGAGCGGGGGAGAGGTGAGCTATGGAGGGAGGTGAGCCACGGGAAGAAGTGAAACTGAAACATGGGGGGATTGGAGGGGTGGGTGGAGAATGGGGTTGGCAGAAGGGGGAATAGGAAAGCGCATTGCTACTGGTACCCATCCCTCGGATACTCCATTGAGGTGCTCAAATGCCATGAGTTCAAATGCCATGAGTTCAAATGCCATGAGTTCAAATGCCATGAGTTCAAATGCCATGAGTTCAAATGCTATGAGTTCAAATGCCATGAGTTCAAATGCCATGAGTTCAAATGCCATGAGTTCAAATGCCATGAGTTCAAATACCACGGGCTCAAAGTAGTAGGCGCCAATGGGTTCAATGCCAAGGGTTCAAGGTAGAAGGCACCAATGGCCACTTCACGAGAGTGCATGACAGTGGTCAGAGGGCCAAGGATGCAGACTACCCATAGGGTGAGACATGAAGGGCAGGGAGTTGGGCGAACGAGGTTCGGTTCCCTAATTCTCACCCTCAATGCAGGCCTCCGCAGTTATCCCAGCACCCTCGGGGCACGCGTGTTTTGAGTCGAATCAAAACACGAGGCATAAAGCGCAGGGAGTTGGGCGAACGAGGTTCGGAGGTTCCCTGAGTCTCACCCTCAATGCAGGCCTCCGCAGTCATCCCAGCGCCCTCAGGGCACGCGCAGTACGGCACGGCGATGGACGCATTGGCGAGAGCAGGCGTGGTTTTGCATGTGGCTCCAGTGGGGCAGATGCCACACGGCGAGGCTGAGGGATGACATGGGATGCAGCAAAGGGAGCGAGGAGCGGACAAGGGATGCAGCAAAGGGGGCGAGGAGCGGGCAAGGGAGTAGCAATGCAGTGCAGAGAGGGGATGACATGAAAATGGTTGAGTCCAAGTGGAGCAGGGAGAGGAGCGGGGCAGAAGTACGCGTGAGAGTGGCTAGGCAAGCGTCCAGAGAAACGAGCAGGCGAAGCGGTGGCAGCAGCAGCAACATTAGCAGCAAAGTGACTTGCTCTGAGTGAATGAAAGAGAACATGAAAGAGAGCATGAAAGAGAACATGAAAGAGAGCATGAAAGAGAACATGAAAGAGAGCATGAAAGAGAACATGAAAGAGAACATGAAAGAGAGCATGAAAGAGAACATGAAAGAGAACATGAAAGAGAACATGAAAGAGAACATGAAAGAGAACATGAAAGAGAACATGAAAGAGAACATGAAAGAGAACATGAAAGAGAACATGAAAGAGAACATGAAAGAGAACATGAAAGAGAACATGAAAGAGAGCATGAAGGTGTGGCGTGTTAAGTGCTCACCCCATTTGCAGGTGGCAACGCCATCCACATTCACACAGGCCTTGTCAGCAGGGCAATCCACCCCAGCACAGGCAACATCTGACATGTGCCAGGCACAACGCAATGAGAGTCAGGAGGTTGGGGAGTTTCCAAGGGGAAGATTAAAGGAGGGCAAGGTTCAACAGTTGGGAAGTGGGGGAGGAGGATGCACAGCGGGAGTGCAGTGAGCGTAAGTAAGTAGAATATGAAAAAGAGGTGCGGTGGCAGGGTTGCACAGCGCAGGGGCATGTGGAGAGAGGTGTTTGTCGAGAATGGGAGGTGAACAAACGGAGAAAGGGAAAAGAAAGGGCATCAGATGAGCAAGGCAAGACAGCCAGTGTCTAGAAGCAAGCAAGCTGGCACAGGGCAGGGCATACCTTCACACGTGCCGTCGGGGAGCATCTTGAACCCCGCAGTGCACACGCACGTGGGAGCACCCTCTGCGTCCTTGCCGCACTTAGAGCCGACGCCACACTGCACGCCGACACATTTATCTGTCGGGTGGGTTGGGGGGTTGAAAGTGGAAATTTTTATGCGCATGTCCATTGATGGGGCATGGGTTGACATGGGTGTCACAATCCATGCACGCCCATGCACGCCCATGCACCCATGCACCCATGCGCCCATGCACCCATGCACCCATGCACCCATGCGCCCATGCGCCCATGCGCCCATGCACCCATGCACCCATGCACCCATGCGCCCATGCGCCCATGCACCCATGCACCCATGCACCCATGCACCCATGCACCCATATGCGCAGATGCAATAGATTGGCGGTTCGAGTGCTCAAACCGGACTGGGTTTCACCCATGATCAAACCATGCTGAGCCACGATGGCAGGTACGAGTTGACTGACTTGGGGGACCACCACACCCCTACTGGTTGACTAACTTGGGGGACCACCGCACCCCTACTCGTCAGCACCAGCTCAGCGGTGCACCCTTGATGCAGTGCGCGTTGGCAGCGCCGGCAGCCACACGACAATTCAGACAAGCCTTAACACATTCAGTCCTCAAGCCTTGATTGTCCAAGGTAAGAGCAAGTAGCGTACCTTGGCAAGTACCATCTTTGGCAGCAAAGCCCAGATCACATGCACAGGAGACGCTCCTGCTGTCAGTCGTTGGGATGCAAGTGGAGTTGCCCGGGCACGTGGTGAACTGGCAGATGCTGTCTGTATGGGTGGAGGAACACGGGGGTAAAGTTAGATTGGAAGACCATCACTCTGGATATCAAGGCTCGAAGATACACCGATGTTTTCTTTTTTGGCCCCCATGGGTACCGAAGTTTTTGGTCGTATACTACGGTATAAAAGGGCGGATGAATTTTGAACCTTGCTGGGGTTCAATTTAGGGCTCACTTTGGGTTGGGATCAGTGCACTATTAAGAGCAACGCTAGGTGCAGCCACTTGCTACAGGCACGTACCAATATCGCACTGAACGGAAGCCACAGTAGCCCACTCTTTGATCTTCTTCTTGCTGCTTGGGATAGCAAGGACGGGCAGAGGCAAGGGATGGCACACCCACAGCAGGAACCCACGACACGGCTCAATTGGCATCAGGTAGTGACAGGCGTAGCAGGCGTGCACAGTACGTGCATGGTGCGTGCATGGTGCGTACCTGGTGCGTGCATGGTGCGTACCTGGTGCGTGCATGGTGCATACATGGTGCGTGCATGGTGCGTGCATGGTGAGTGCATGGTGCGTGCATGGTGCGTGCATGGTGCGTGCATGGTGCGTGCATGGTGCGTGCATGGTGCGTGCATGGTGCGTGCATGGTGTGTGCATGGTGCGTGCATGGTGCATACATGGTGCGTGCATGGTGCGTACCTGGTGCGTACCTGGTGCGTGCATGGTGCGTGCATGATGCGTACCTGGTGCGTACCTGGTGCGTACCTGGTACACCACACCTCTCCCTCTCCCATCTCGCCCCAACCTCATCTGCCCACTTCGCTGTTGCTCCCCTTGCTCACTGCCTTGCTCACTGCCTTGCTCACTGCCTTGCTCACTGCCTTGCTCACTGCCTTGCTCACTGCCTTGCTCACTGCCTTGCTCACTGCCTTGCTCACTGCCTTGCTCACTGCCTTGCTCACTGCCTTGCTCACTGCCTTGCTCACTGCCTTGCTCACTGCCTTGCTCACTGCCTTGCTCACTGCCTTGCTCACTGCCTTGCTCACTGCCTTGCTCACTGCCTTGCTCACTGCCTTGCTCACTGCCTTGCTCACTGCCTTGCTCACTGCCTTGCTCACTGCCTTGCTCACTGCCTTGCTCACTGCCTTGCTCACTGCCTTGCTCACTGCCTTGCTCACTGCCCTACGCACTGCCTTGCTTACGGTCCGAGCAGCCGCATCTCACCTTGCTGCGCTGCACTCCATGCACCACACCTCTCCCTCTCCCTCTCCCTCTCCCTCTCCCTCCCCCCTCCTCCCCCCCCCTGCCTTAACCTCTCCCAACCGCGCAGCCGCATCTCACATGGCGGTGCTGCTGCTCTTGCGCACGGCGGCGCTGCTGGGCCGTGCGAGCCGTGCCACCAGGTCGCCCTCGCAGTCGCGGCTGCCGAAGAACGTCAGCTGTCGGCACGTGGCACCACCGCCACCCGCACCCGCGCCCGCGCCTGCGCCTGCGCCCGCGGTCGCGGCCTTCCCCAGGCTCCACCTCACGCGCACATCCGAGCCAGCGCTCGCCACCTCGCGCGGCACGTTGAGGCAGCGGGCGGCGCGGAAGTCGAAGTCGAAATCCGCCGCCAGCCGCGTCGCCACGCTCACCGCCGTGGCCGGCACCTCATCGCCCGTGCCGGCCACGCACAAGTCGCACGCTGCGAGGGGGAAGGAGGGGGGGGGAGGGGAGGGGGGGAACGGGAAGAACCGCGTGGGGGTGATCTCACGGCAGACCGGACAGCTGAGTCACGGACAGCCGAGTCACGGACAGCCGAGTCACGGACAGCCGAGTCACGGACAGCCGAGTCACGGACAGCCGAGTCACGGACAGCCGAGTCACGGACAGCCGAGTCACGGACAGCCGAGTCACGGACAGCCGAGTCACGGACAGGTTGCGAAGGCAGCCAGTGCGCATGGGGGTCCGTGGCAGTGACTGGCAGAGTGACGGGTGTGCGGCACCTCCAGCGGGGTGAAGGGTGCCGCTAAAGTCATCCGATGACTCGCGAAAGCAGCAACTGCGCGCGCGAAACTCGTGCCAGTGGCGGCGGCGTACCGCAAATGACGGCGAGGGCTACAAGTTGGAGCAGCGCGGCACGACTCGGAGAGGCGGCGCGCACGCGGTGGATCATGGTGCTCGCGACGGCGCAGCGCCGGCGTCGCTGAAGATCTTCTGCGGAAGAGCTGGCGCTGCTGGCGAGCTGCTTTCGAGAGGTTGAGAGTTTGAGAGAGCGCCGCTGTAGAGTGAAGAGTCGACGAGTGGCGCAGTAAAGCAGCGCGGCAAAGCAGCGCGTAGGGAAGCGTGGCCGCGTCTGGGAAGAGCGCTTATCGCCGTCGCTAACTGCTTCTTCACGTGCCACGCGTGACTGACTCGGCGCGACGTGGAATCCCACTTGCGTCGACGCCCACTGGCACGTCGCGGTAGCACTCCAAGACAACAGACGGCTGAATGCACGGCGTGGCGGCACGATGCTGGCAGGCGCTGGCAGGCGCGACTAGCGGAGGTAGTGGTGTGGCTAGTCACTAGAAGCGGTGGATGTACAAGGCGGGGATCGTACAGATACTAGTGGCGGTGTGGTTGCAAGAAACTGCTCGTAGACGCAGGGCTCGTACAGGTAATAGCGGTGTGGCTGCAAACATCTACTCTGGTTCTCGATGCTGAGACGCTGAGCGACTGGGTCTCATAAAAGCAGGAGGTCGCGCCTTCCAGCAAGGCCGAGCCACGCCGAGAGACGGCCTCCTTCCTTCCCGCATCGTTGAGGGAGGCCATCTCTCGGCGAGGAGCCTCCTCCCCTTCTGCATCGCGATGCTTCAGCGGGACATGCGGCAGGCTTTCGCGATCCAGAGTCTACTTTCCAATCGCGTTACTTGGGGGTCCTTCGACCTGCTGCTCTCTGCAGCGCACCCTGGCTGCTTTGCGCTGGCCGCTCTGCTCGCCAGCAGCAAATTGCGCAGTTCGCGCTGGGCTTGGAGAACGCGTCTCGGAGGGTGTCTCCGTAATGCATGTTTTCACTCTGCACCCTACTCGACCGTTTGAAAGTAAGCATCATAAAGCTTACACTATATCCCTTAATCTCAAATTGGTCGTACGTACATCACCATGAAGGAACTCGACTCGGATCTAGAATCTGTAGCATGATAGATTGATAATTCATGATGGTAAATTCCACATTTGGCAGGATTAATCCTTAAATGACATGTATATTTTTAATGGAAGATGTCAACATATGTTTTGTATATGTTATAGGCTAGATAGGTGCATGCTCATATAGATTACAACACCTTAGGTTATATTCCCTTGTACCCCATCATTCTAGTCAACTTTTTACTCTGGGATGGTATCACGCTAAGTTAGGATCCCGCCCACCCGCGCTTCCACCATCGTCCTAGCCCTAGCCCAAGCCGCCCGAGCTAGCCGCCCGTTCCTAGACGCCCGTCGCTAGCCGCCTGTCGTCCGTAGCCGCCGGCTGCCCGCTGGTCGCCTGTCGCCGCTGGCCGCCCGTAGCCGCCAGCCTGCTGGCCGCCCTTAGCCACCAGCTGCCCATCGCCCGTCGCTGCTGCCCGTCACTGCCAGTTGCACATAGCCCGCTGGCCGCCTGTCGCCGCCCGTAGCTGCTGGCCGCCTGTCGCCGCTGGCCACCTGTAGCCGCCAGCAGCCCGTAGTCGCCAACCCGCTGGCCGCCCTTAGCCACCAGCTGCCCGCCGTCCATCGCTGCCGCTCATAGCCGCCAGCTGCCCATAGCCCGCTGGCCGCCTGTCGCCACTGACCGCCCGTCGCCGCCAGCCTGCCTGTCCCCGCTGGCCGCCTGTTGCCGCCAGCCCGCCCGTCGCCGCTGGCCGCCCGCTACCGCCAGCCGCCCGTAGCCGCTGGCCGGCCGTAGCCGCCAGCCGCCAATAGCCGTTGGCCGCCCGTTGCCACCAGCCGCCCGTAGCCGCTGGCTGCCTGTAGCCGCCAGCCGCCCGCCGCCAGCTGCCCGTCGTCGCTGGCTGCTCCACTTTCTCTCCTCCCCTTGTCAACGGCAGTCAGCTGATGGTGGACTCTCTGCTCCGCCTGGATGCGGAGGGTCGGGCCCTTGAGTTTGAGGCGTGGTTCGTCGACCTCCGCCGCCAGCTGACCGGGCAGCGCTAGGACGGCCACTCCCTTGCCGTCCATGCCGACGGTAAGCTCCCTCGCCCTGCACCGCCTGCTGCCCTCCCTGGCGCCCCCACATCTGCTAAGCATGAGGCTTTTGTCGCTGGTGAGCTTGCCTGCGCTGTCTGGGATTTGCGCGACGCCATTGCTCAGCTTGCCATTAGTCATGCCCTCCCGCTGTCTGAGCGTCCTCGCGTAACCGCTGTCTCAAACGCAAAGGAATACTTCGATGCCGTCATCGCACAGTATTCCACCCCCGTCTCAGCCTATGCCGGCCGTGTGATCCTCCCCATGCTGTTCCCTGATATTGCGTCCTTCCCCACTGTGGCTAACCTTGCCACTCACCTCCGCGCACTGGAGATTAGCTACCGCGCCGCTAGCACTGAGGCACCTAGTGGAGGAGTCGGCTGACTCCAGGGGCCCCGCGGCTTCGGTCTCGCAGCCTTTCTCCGCACCGTTGTCTCCTACTCCATTGCCGCCGCAGCAATCGTTGTCACCGCCGCCGCCGCAGTAGCAGTCGGTGCCGTCGCCGCCGCTACCGTAGCCACCGTCGCCACTGCCACTGCTGCAGCCGCTACAGGGGTCCGCAAGCTCTGGGCGTGCGGGCGTTGAGGAGGGTACTAGTCCTAGGGGTACTGTCGTGGCTTGTCCCGGCGGTCATGGGGGTGGCACCGGTGCTGGAGAGGGTTCTCGTTCTGGGGGTGCTGGCTCTAGGGGTGCTAGTCCTGGGGGTACTGCTGGGGCTTGCCCCGACTGTCCTGAGGTTGGCACCGATATTGGAGAGGGTTCTCATTCTAGTGGTGCTATCGTAGAGCGTCCCGGAGGTAGCCGTGGTGCAGCTGGAGGTTCTGGTGTCGGTGTAGAGCAGCAGCAGCAGAAGTCATCGCTGGTGTCTGCCCTTTGCCTCCTCGGTCTTCCCTCCCATGACCGCCCGCCTGGGCCTCCCCCGCCTGTCTACGGTCCTGTGTTTCCTCCGCGGGACTCATCTCCAGCTCGTTTCCCCCCGCGTTCTCCTACTGTGTCTCCTCTTGTGTCTCCTGGCCCCATGCCTCCGTCCCACTTCTGGTCTCGCCATCCCTCTTGTGCTTGTCGTGCCTCTCCTGTCCAGCGCTCTCACCCTATGTTGCTTCGTTCCCACGCGGCTCATCCTCCCCTCCTTCCGCCGCCTCCTCTGTCCACACTGGTTGTCGCTCCGCCTCTCCTGTCTGACTTCCTCCGTACCGCTAGTCCTCTTGTTCCTCGAGTCCCTTGCTCTGTTGTTACCGACCCGTCCGTTCGTGCCTCCTGTCTTGACGATATTGTCGCTGCTGTCACTGACTTTGCCTCTACCTGCCGCCTTGACTACGCCACCGCTCTGGTCTCTGACCCTGCCCGACCTCCGTTCGTCGGGGATGCTCCTGCCCTTAGCAGTGATGTCTTGGAGGACCGGCAGTATGAGTTTGCTTTCCTATCCTTGGCCGCGCCTTATCTCTGCTCCATGCTGCTTGTCCCCGAGGGTGACCCAGACGCCTTTGACATCCCGACCCCTCGCACTTACGCTGAGGCGACCTCGGAACCCTGGGCCTCTTAGTGGATAGCTGCCATGGATACGGAGATGGCATCTTGGAGATCCATCAGCACCTACGTCGACACAGTTCCCCCACCTAGGGTGAACGTAGTCGATGGTTGGTTGCTCTTCAAGGTGAAGCACCCTCCTGGAGAGCTGCCGGTGTTCAAGTTGCGCTACGTTGCTAGAGGCTTCAAACAGCGTGAGGGTGTTGACTTCTTCCAGACATTCGCCCGCTGGTAAACGTAGTAGCACAGCGTGACTACGAACTGCACTCTCTCGACTTCTGGACAGCGTTTCTTCAGGGCATTCTTCACGAGCAGGTCAACCTGTGTCGCCCGCAAGGCTTCACCGACACCTTCAGCCCGAGGACCCACTGGCTCCTCCGGCGCTCGGTTTTCGGCCTGCGGCAGGCGCCTCGAGAGTGGCACGACACTCTTCGTCCTACATTAGCTGACCTGCAGTTCTTCCCGTCCTCTGTAGACCCTTCACTCTTCGTTTGTTTAGGCCAGACACCGACCACAGCACTGGTCGGCCGCTAAGAGCGTTTTGCGTTATCTAGCGAGTACATCGGGCATGGGGCTAGTGCTAGAAGGACGCAGGCCAGTGGTCCTTACTGGGCACACAGACTCTTCATGGGCAGACGGCATTGAGACGCTCAAGTCCTCACAGGGCTACTCCTTTAGCCTTGGTGCAGGTGCCATCTCTTGGAGGTCCACTTGCTTGTCGTCTGTTGCCCAGTCTAGCTGTAAGGCTGAGATCTATGTCGGTGCCATGGTGGCACAGGAGCTCTGTAGGCTGAAGTTCTTGCACACAGACTTAGGTGAGCGGCCTAGCTCTGCCCTGGTCATGTACGCTGACAACAAGGCCATGATTCTCCTGTGTCAGGATCCTCGACGGGAGGGCAGAGCGAAGCACATTCAGCTGCGGTACTTCCTCCTACGCGAGCTACAGCAGCGCCGCCAGGCCCGCGTAGTACACTTGGTCTCCGGTGCCAACATAGCTGATATCTTTACTAAGGTGCTTGCGCCTAAAGATCATCAGCGGGACTGTGTCCAGCTTGGTCTAGTTCCTATAGCTTCTCACTTTCTAGGACCTTGATTGTGCACTATATCTTATATTACCTTGATTGGCCTTATGGCTCCTGCTCCAATGGCTGGACTAGTAGTGCTGCCCTGGATTGTTCTTGTTTAGTTTGTACTCTTGCTGACTGGTCTTCGGACCATTGCCTCAGAGGTTGGACTAGGAATACCACCCTGAGCTGCGTATCTTGTGGTAGTCGCTACCCCTTGTCTAGCCTAGGGGTTGTGTCAACATATATTTTTTTATACGTTATAGGCTAGATAGGTGCATGCTCATATAGAGTACAACACCTTAGGTTATCTTCCCTTGTGCCCCATCATTCTAGTCAACTTTTTGCTTTGAGAGAAGAAACGTAGCGCACCCATTCATAAGTACATGTTCTTTGGATGAATATGTGATACGATCACAAGGATCATGGGATTGTTAGGATTGAACAATGATGGTAGGGTGCACTTTGCAAAAGCGTTGTGATTGGAGGATGACCTTGTCATAGGGAATATACCATAACAAGATAATTGAAACAAAAAGGATACCGTACATGGTTTATATAAAGATACAAGAGATATGATGAGTATTCCTACAGTAGATGGTACAACACCCTTCTTGTATCTCTCTCTGTTGTTTAGTCCAAATCTCTTTTCCCTCGTCACTTTTCCTACCTAGCTAAAACCTCTCGCCATTCCCATGCCTAGCTAGCTAAACCTACTTCTAACATGGTTTCAGAGCAGGCTGATAATGCTCAGCCTTCTCACACTTCCGCCGCATACTCTCCCCCCTCCTCTCACTTTCGCGCCGCCGTAACGGCCTTGTTGGGCTGCAATGGCGACCTTGCTATGCTGCCGTTGCGGCCTCAACGCGCTACCATGGCATCGATGCGCTGCCATGGCGGCTTCGTCGTGCTGCCGTGGCGGCTTCGACGCGTCAGCGCATGGACGGCAGCGGCCAGCGTGCTGATCTTGCTCCGACCAGCACGCCCGCACGCAGCCAGCGCACCAGCTAGGGCGGCTCGCTCCCTGGCTCCGCTGCAGAAGACTCCCCCCCTCCTCTGTTCCCCCCTCCTCCATGCCGCAGATACTGGCGGTCTCGTGCCATCCTTCCCCTGTCGTCACAGTGTGTGCCATGCCGCCATGTGCCTCGGGCGCCGCCGCCGCCGCTGGGTGCCTCGACACCGCCGCCACCACCACAGGTGCTGCAGGCCTTGCCGCCGCGGCCGTCGTAGTCGCCGTCGCCGCCGCCGCCACTGCGACCCACCACTGACATCGCCGCCTCGATTGTTGAGGGATCGACCCGCTAGTAGACGCCACAACTGCTGCAGAACATGGGGGTGCAAGGGCTTGGGGGTGTGGTGTGTGTGGTGTGCTAGCGCCTACCAATTCTAGGGGGTGTGTCAACTTATATTATATTATATATATATATATATAGTTGGTCCTTTCCTTATCGTAACACTCCCCTCCATTCTTGAGTATAGCATGTCTTGGCGCGCTTGGTGTTTTCGCAGAGATCAACGCACTGCTGGTACTGCTGGCGTGGCAGTTTATTGGTGAAGAAGTCAGCTGCCATGTCAATACTAGGGCAGTAAGTGAAGTCCACCTTCCCTTTGCCGATTTCTTCTTTGACGAAAAATTATCGCACTGCGATATGCTTTGTGCGAGTCACATTGACGTACTTGTTGGCGAATTTGATCACACTCTGGTTGTAGTTGTATAACTTGAAGGACTACGACATCCTGAGTTTCGCTTCCTGCAGGAGTTCCGTAGAGCCCTTCGCGAACTGTTGCAACAGCGAGATGAGTTTTTCTTTAGCTGAAAAGAGTGTGACTAAAACCAGCTTCTCGGAATTTTATGAGATAGGTCCAGTAGGCTCTAGGCGAAAAATAGAGCCTATGTGGGAGCGGCGATTAGCGAAATCAGTGGCATGATCGGCATCGACGTAGGCAACAAGTTGGAACCGGGGCGATGAGGGAGTAGAGTATGTGAGTCCGATTTGGGTGTCGAAATGAAGTTACGTAGGTTGAGTAGGTTCTCCCCTTCAGATCGCTGGGAAGATTGGCCAAGCTGGCTGGCAATGTATGAGAGATCGAGACAGCAAGTTACGGCGGCGAATAACAGTCAGCTGAGTTGCTGCTGGTAGAGCTAGTGCACAGTAGGAGAGAGCGCCTTTGCGTTGGACTTGTGGCTCGTGGCGGGCGTGCGGTTGGGAGTCGAGACCTGTATGAGGGTAAGGTCGAATTTCTTGGCGAGGGTATCGGCGTACTTGGACATGGAGAGGTGAATGGCTCGGGCGAGTAGGAGATGTTCAGTCTGAAGAACTGTGTGATGGTGGAGGACGTGGTGATGTTGACATGCTGGCCGAGATTTTTCTTGAACTGACAGAGAAGGTCGGGGATGGTGCGGATGTATAGAAGATAATCATTGTAGACTGTAAGAAGGATGTGGTCGCCACAAAAGTGGAGGCGATACATTCTGTGGTTATGCGGCTATTAGTTGAAGCCGATGTCGAGGAGGGTGCCGTCTATGTGCTACAGCAAGGGTCGCGGTGCCTGCTTTATCTCGTAGAGAGATGTCTGCACTTGGCACACCTACGAATCCCTATCGCCGTAGGTGTGCGGCTGCTCGACGAAGATGAGTGCATTCACCTTGGCATAGAGGAACTCCTTCACATCAATTTGTCGCAGCTCCATGTGCATATTGGCAGCAATAGCGAGTACGATACGGACGGAGGGATGGCGGCTGATGGGTGCGAATGTGAGATCGAAATTGAACCCATGGTTCTGGTCATAGCGACGCATGACCCCCGTGCCTTGTACCACTCAATAAAGCCATTTTCATCGGTCCTCACACAGTAGACCCACTTCTTGAAGAGAGTTTTTTTCCTCTTAATTGCTTGACAGTCCACTTGTACCCAGGTGTTGCTGGAGTGGAGAGTGGCGAGCTTGACACCATTCCATGCGATAAGGTCTGCCTAGTGCCTTACGAGGGTTCTTAGGCTTGACAGATGTGGTCGATGGTGGATGGCAGTGTGCAGGCCGAGCAGGTGAAGCCCTGTAAAACGTTGGTTATGAATGTCAACTTATACATGTATGATGTGTGTATAATTATAGGCTAGGTAGGTTAGTGCTCTTATAGAGTACAACACCCAAACCATATATCCGTAAGTATGCCTTGCTATTACTTACTTCGCTATCTTAACATGGTATCACGCTAGGTAGGTCCCACCCACCAGTGCTTCCGCCCTAGCCTACCTTAGAGCAAGCCACCCTTAGAGCGCCCCACCCGTTAGAGCGGCCCGCCCCTTAGTGCGCCCCTTCCCTAGCTCGCTGCGCCGCGCTGGCCCTCAGCTCGCCCCATCGGCCTCTGCTCGCCGTGCTGGCCCTAGCTCGCCGCGCTGGCCCTCGCTTGCCACGCTGGCCCTAGCTCGCTACGCTGGCCCTAGCTCGCTACGCTGGCCCTAGCTCGCCACGTTGGCCTTAGCTTGCCGGGCTGGCCCTAGCTCGCCGCGCTGGCCCTCTGCTCGCCACGTCAGCCCCAGCTCGCCACCGGTTCCCGCTTATCGTGTCGGCACCAGCTCGCCACGTCGGACTCAGCTCGCCGCATTAGCCCCAGCTCGCCACGTCAGCCTCTGGTTATCGCGCCGGCCCCTGCTCGTCGCCGCCCCTTGCTCGTCACCGGCCCCTGCTCGTTGTCGGCCCCTGCTTTGTCGCCGGCCCCTGCTCGCCGCGTCGGCCCCTGCTCTCTGCGCTGGCCACAGCTTGCCGCATCGGCCCCTACTCGCCACGCTGGCTCCTGCTCGCCGTCGACGGCCCCTGCTAGCTGCGCCGGTCCCAGCTCGTCACCAGCCCCAACTCGTGCCGGCCCCTGCTAGCCGCGCCAGCCCCTGCTAGCCGCGTCGGCCCCTGCTAGCTGCGTCGGCCCCTTGCTCGCCGCCGTTCCTTACTCGCCATCGGCCCCTGCTCGCTACCGGCCCCAGCTTGTCGCCGTCCCTGGATTCTCTTCTGCATTGGCACCCTCGCCAGCCATGCACGCTACCGTGCTCCACCGCAATCCACCACTCTCCACCATATCACACCGCACCCACTTACTCCCTGCTCCTCCTCCTCCTGTGTCCTGTAGCTGTCGCAGCTGTGCGCGATGGCGGACACCATTCTCCGCCTGGACGCAGAGGGTAGTGTTGGTGCAACCCTATGGCTTGCACTCGGCTTGTCGTCCGTGTTTGTGTGTGTGCATGCATGGCATGGAATGACTTGTGAGTCTATGTCATTGCTATCTAGTGCTTGTGTGTGTGTTTGAATGGTGTCTCACAATGTGGTGTGTGTCGGTCAAGACATTAGTGAGTTTTTACAACTCGCATGTCAAGTCGTCGTTTGCGTGTCGCATGTGTTTTTCTATTTTGTCAAGTGTGAAGTGTCCATCGCGTCGCAGGTGTGTGCAGCAAGCCCCCATCAACTCAAGAAGAATTTATCTTGAAGAACCAAGACCAAGAGCTCAAGATTTCAAGCCCAAGGGACGCGGATAAATATTAAATAGTGAAAATAGTAACGCTACTTCGTGTAGTGTTACATTTCACTTGGTGTAGCCCCTTGGAGGGTTTGTTTTGAGACTCTTCGTGGTTGGGGACTCTGTGGTGGTGTACCACCAACCTGGACCTCGGCTCTTGGGGTATGTAGAGGCTGGGAACCATCTCCCTCTCAAATTCTTCTTCCTAAGTTTTTTGTACTCCTAACACTATAGTGGCTGCTGTACCTCCTGCCAGTCAAACCGCCATAGCGTCGTCAAATCTCGATGGAATTTTATGATTCAACTTGCTGCTGATAGGCGACACCAACGCGCTCCAGATCCAATTTACAGATCACCGTTTGAGGCACACATCAGATCGGCATCAATATTTGAAGCTGGCTGACGGAATTCTGACTGTGCACATTTTCTCTCATTTTAGGCACATCTGAGCCTATTGTGATTATAACAAGTGGTATCAGAGCCCCTTGGAGCTGTCTCGACCATGCCTAGACCTGAGGAAGGGGGTGGCAGAGGTGCTGGAGGCAGAGAAGACGCCCAAGCACAAGGTCAACACCAAGATCCACCCATGGCTCCCGTGCAACCTAGCCTTGGCCCCTCTAGGGATGAGCCTAGAGTGTTTGGCCTTGACAAGTTCAACGGTGACAACTTTGCTGAGTGGTCCTTCAAGATGGAGAACATCTTTGACCACTATGATCTGCTGGAGGTGATGGAAGGAACGGAGAAGCGCCCCGAGAACGACCCGGAGAAGAGCCCGTGGGTGCGGAAGAGCGCACAAGGCTATCTTCTACTTGGGCAAGCGTTGGGGAGCAGCCAAATCCGTCACATCAAGCCTTTTCAGCGTGAACCAGCAAAGGGACCAAAGGCATGGGCTGCTCTCAAGGGTGTACACGCTCCTGCAACAGCGGCGGTGGCTGTGGTTTTGGAGCGGCAAATGGCGGCCCTTCGAATTGACGAAGGCGAACCGGTGGAGGACGGAGTGCAGAAATTCTTCGACTTGTTGACACGGCTTGAAGGAGCTGACCTGAACTACAGTGACCTTCAAAAGAAGACCAAGCTGCTGGCCTTGCTTCCGGACTCATGGTCCTCGCTCATCATCAACCTAAATCGAGATCTGCCCCGCCTCTCGCTCGAAGATGTGAAGCGGGAAATCTTACAAGAAGATTTCCGTCGTCGTGAATTGGCGGGTACCGATGGTGCCGGAGTTGCAAGCATGGGCCGTGGGCACGGCCGTGGAAGGGGCAGAGGGCGAGGAGGAAGATTTGGCAGCAGCAACTTCAATGGAGGCCGTGGTAATGGAGGATATGGCAGCAACAACAACAACAATGGCTACGGGCGTGGGCGCGGTCGATTTGATGGCGAATGCCACTTTTGCCACAAGACCGGCCACATGTGGAGAGATTGCTACAGATTGCCTGATGGATGGACCCCTTCTCAAGGCCAAGAGGGCAGAGGAGCAAGGGGAGGAAGAGGCAGAGGTCGTGGAGGCCGTGGTGGTCGTGGAAGCGAAGCGGCATGCATGAAAGGTGGAGACTACGAGACGGGCCCGAGTGAAGATCGATACCCAGGCCAATTCTTCTTTGTCTCCACGCAAGCGGCAGCTGCAGCAGGAGGTGTGGAAGGCTTTGAGGAGCCAGCTACTGTGGGAAAGGTCACCCTTCACTCTCTGGACTTTTGGGTGATCGATAGCGGCGCCACCTATAGCATGACACCTCGTGCGGACTTGCTCACCGAACTCGAACCGTCGCCGGTCAAGCATGTCACATCGGCTTTGGGGCAGCGAGCAGAGGTGAAAGGCATGGGCAAGGCCATGTTCAAGGGTGCTGATGGGAAGATGGTGGGCCTCAAGAACGTGCTTTGGGTGCCCAACCTTGCAGCCAACCTGATTTCTGTGCGGCATTTGCAAAAGGCCGGCATGGACACATCTTCCAAGGGATCCAAAACTTATACCGCGCGGCTTGGTGAGCGGAAGCTTTGGGACCTTCATGAGGACAGGGACATCTACAATGAAATGTGGCAAATCCCAGTGGTCCCCATGCCTAAGGAGAGGCAAGTGGCAGCAAGCATCAGCACCAAGAGTGAAGCGGTTGGTGGCGGTGATCACGGAAAGCAAAGTGACACCAAGAGTGACTCGAACGAGTGCAATCTTGGAGAGACCAGCAAGGCATGTGAATCCAAGGAGAGTGGTGCAGCAGCCAAAGGTGGTGGAAATGAGGAGGAGAATCATAAGATCAGCAAAACAGCAGCGGCGAAGGAGAAAGGAGAGAGCTTGTGGGGCACAATTGCGAGTGCCGCTTTCTCCAACCCGACCTCCGCTACGGGAGAGTGTGATTGGCTGACCTTGCATCGGCGAATGGGGCATGTGGCATTGCCCATTTTGCAGCAGATAGTCAAGCAAGACATGGTCAGTGGGATACGTGTCAAGGGGGAGCCCAATGAGGTGCTTGGCTGTCCAACATGCATGCAAGCCAAGTTCACCCGCTACCCGTTCCATAGCTCGGAGACAACGGCGAAGGCACCACTTGATGAGGTGGTGATGGATGTGGTGGGTCCCTTGAAGCTTGGAGCTGCTGGAGCTGAGTACTTCCTCACCATTGTGGACGTCTACACTCGCATGACTTGGGTATATGTGCTGCCCAAGAAGAGTGACGTGGCTGAAACGGTGAAGACCGATTGGTTGCCGATGGTGGAGCGGCAACAAGACCGACTTGTGAAGGCGATTCGCACTGACCGTGGGGGAGAGTTCCTGAGCAAGAACTTCTCAACTTGGCTGAAGAAGCAGGGCATAAGGCACTCTCTTACCATGCCCTACTCTCCTGCAATGAACGGCATTGCCGAGCGTGCGAATCGGACACTCACGGAGACGGCTCGGGGACTTCTCATTGAAGCCGGTCTTCCCAATTACTTTTGGCCGGATGCGGTGCGGCATGCTTGTGTGGCCAAGAACAGAGCCTTGACTCACGTGGGAGAAGACAAATGGGTGCCCTATGTGGAGTGGATTGGAAGGAAGCCGAAGGTGGATATGCTTCGGGTGTTCGGGTGCATGTGCATGGCACTTGTGCCTAAGAAACTTCGGCACAACAAGCTTGATGCCAAGGCAACATGGGCCGTGCACTTGGGCATGGCTCAAAACAGCAAGGGATGGCTTCTTTGGGACCCATTTACCAAGAAGTTCCTGGTGAGCAGAGATTGCAAGTTCATGGAGAACTTACCGTACAAGGAGTGGAAGGCGGAGAACCAAGCGAAGATTGGTGTGCGGCTTGGAGAGGTGAAGAGTACCGGCTTGGAGCATGTGGAGCTGCCCTTGGAGCTGAGTAGCAGCAGCACTATCACAAGGCAATCTCCTCAAATGAATGGGGGAGAAGAGGAGGAGGAGGTGCAGCAAGGTGATGAGCGTACACCGTCACTTCCGCCTCGTGCTACAAGTGCTCGCGGGAACCGAGCAGATTTGCAGCAACGCCATGAGAGCATCCAAGTCCCTGCAGTAGAGGAGGAAGGAAGGGGGAGAAGGAGGACTCAGCCCCCCAATAGGTTGAGCTATGAACGGCTTGGAGGAGCAGCCAACTCAACCTTGACCGGTTCGGCTCTCATGCTAGGCGATGAAGCGGAAGATGAAAGCGAGGAGTGCGCTTTTGCCTTCTTCTCTCCGGTGGAGATACCGGGGGAGCCTACAAATCCCAAGGAGGCTTGGGAGGGCCCCAATGGGAAGGAGTGGAAGAAGGCCTCAGATGAAGAGATGGGGAGCATCATCGAGAACGACACGTTTGACTTGGTGAACCTACCCCCGGGGCGTAAGGCGATCTCTTCCAAGTGGCTCTTCAAGCGCAAGACCGACGCCGACGGCAACATTGAGCGCTACAAGAGCAGACTTGTAGCCAAGGGGTACCAGCAGCAGGAGAAGAAGGACTACAATGAAGTATATGCTCCTGTGGTAAAGGGTACAACCCTTCGAACCCTCTTCGCCGCGGCGGCCATCAAAGGATGGGTGGTGAAGCAAATGGATATCGTAACGGCCTTCCTCAACGGAGTTTTGGAGGAAGAGACCTACATGGAGCAGCCAGAGGGGTACAATGATGGGAGTGGCAGAGTGTGGAAGCTGAAGAAAGCACTCTATGGCCTCAAGCAAGCCCCTAGGCAATGGTACATCAAGCTGCGGGAAGTCTTGGAGGCGATCGGTTTCACTCCCTCAACGGCCGATCAATCATTGTTCATGCTTGGCGAGGGGGAGCAGAGGAGCTTCATGGTGGTTTATGTGGATGACATCCTCATATTCTCACCCTCCTCTGACCTTGTGAAGGAGGTGATGCTGAAGCTTCAAGACAAGTTCAAGTGCAAGACCCTTGGTGACGTCAACTACTACCTTGGGCTTCACATTGAGCGAGATGTGGAGAAGCGGTGGATGCGAGTGCATCAAAAGAAGTACTTGGAGGCCTTGGCTGCAAACTTTGGAAAGAGTGAAGGTCATGTGGCTACTCCTCTTCCCTCAGGGTTCAAGTGTGTGAAAGGACCAGCAGAGGAAAGTGTTGGTGAAGAGGAGAGGCGCCGTTTTCATTCCTTGGTGGGCAGCCTCATGTATGCGGCCGTTCACACAAGGCCGGATGCAGCCTTTGCTACCGGACAGCTAGCTAGGGTTGTCCAATGCCCTAATGAAGAGCAGGTAGCAGCTGGAGAGAGGGTGGCCAAGTACCTTGGCCAAACAGCAACTGTTGGACTGCAATACTCCGCGGCGGCACAAAGGCGTCAAAAGGGTGCGGATGGAGTCGAACCCGGGAGGCTCTTTCTCACCGCCTTCTCTGATGCATCTTGGGCATCAGAACCAGAGGACATGACAAGTGTGGGAGGCTTCATCTGCTGTGTTGGTGGAGGACCAACAGCTTGGGAGAGCAAGAAACAAGTGGACCAAGCATTGAGCTCGGTGGAGTCCGAGTACATGGCACTCTTCCGTGCCATAAGAGAGGTTGTGTGGCAGCGGCGTTTGCTAGCTGAATTGGGGGAGGAGCAGCAAGGACCTACCCCCCTCTACTGTGATAGCCAGGGTGCTATTGCATTGGCTAAGAACCCCGTTCTTCATGGCCTTACCAAGCACATGAAGGTGAAGTGGCATTGGGTGAGGAGCATGGTAACCGCGGGTGAAGTGGAGTTGCACTACGTGAAGACGACGGCGCAGCCGGCTGATATGATGACCAAGAGGCTGGTTGAGCAGCAGCATTGGAAGTGTTGCAAGCTTGCTGGGATGGCTCTGAACTAAGGGGAGCAGATTCTAAGGCCAACAATCCGAGGGGGAGTTTGTTGGTGCAACCCTATGGCTTGCACTCGGCTTGTCGTCCGTGTTTGTGTGTGTGCATGCATGGCATGGAATGACTTGTGAGTCTATGTCATTGCTATCTAGTGCTTGTGTGTGTGTTTGAATGGTGTCTCACAATGTGGTGTGTGTCGGTCAAGACATTAGTGAGTTTTTACAACTCGCATGTCAAGTCGTCGTTTGCGTGTCGCATGTGTTTTTCTATTTTGTCAAGTGTGAAGTGTCCATCGCGTCGCAGGTGTGTGCAGCAAGCCCCCATCAACTCAAGAAGAATTTATCTTGAAGAACCAAGACCAAGAGCTCAAGATTTCAAGCCCAAGGGACGCGGATAAATATTAAATAGTGAAAATAGTAACGCTACTTCGTGTAGTGTTACATTTCACTTGGTGTAGCCCCTTGGAGGGTTTGTTTTGAGACTCTTCGTGGTTGGGGACTCTGTGGTGGTGTACCACCAACCTGGACCTCGGCTCTTGGGGTATGTAGAGGCTGGGAACCATCTCCCTCTCAAATTCTTCTTCCTAAGTTTTTTGTACTCCTAACACTATAGTGGCTGCTGTACCTCCTGCCAGTCAAACCGCCATAGCGTCGTCAAATCTCGATGGAATTTTATGATTCAACTTGCTGCTGATAGGCGACACCAACGCGCTCCAGATCCAATTTACAGATCACCGTTTGAGGCACACATCAGATCGGCATCAATATTTGAAGCTGGCTGACGGAATTCTGACTGTGCACATTTTCTCTCATTTTAGGCACATCTGAGCCTATTGTGATTATAACAGGTAGTGCGGTGGACTTTGAGGCGTGGCTCGTCGACCTGCACCGCCAGCTTAAGGGTCAGTGCCAGGACGGCCAGTCTCTGGCCGTCCACGTCGATAATAAGCTGCCCTGCCCCCCCGTGCTTGCTGCCCTCGCTGATGCCGCCTCGCCTATAGAGCGTGAGGTTTTTCGCAGCTGCTGAGCTCGCTCGCTCTGTTTGGGAGTCACATGATATGACTGCGTAGCTTGCTATTAGTCACGCCCTCCCACTGTCCGAGCGTCCCCGCTTTCAGGCCCTAGAGACGGCAAAGGAATGTCTCGACGCAGTTATCACTCGCTATTCCACTCCCTCCTACGCCTCTGCTGACTGTCTCCTCCTTCCCTTGCTCTTCCTTGACCTCACCTTGTTCCCTACTGTCGCTGATGGCCAAGCACCTGCCTGCTTTAGAGTCTAGCTACTGCACTGCTAGCACTGATGCTCAGCTCACTGTCTTCCCCCCTCCCATTGGCGCCACTCTTTATTTCCTCGCCCCGTGTGCCGGTCCTTGAGATGGATATGGGTCTAATTCGCTCTGCTTTGTATGCTATGTATGCTGATGACTCTAGTATCACTGTACTCTATTACCCTGCTGTGCCTAGACTAGGAGCTTCAGCTGTGTGTAGTCTTGGCTCCCATGCTGTGTCAGGCCTAGGACCCTGCCGCCCTGAGTTACTCTTGTTGAGTTAGTACTCTTACTGACCCCCTGTTGGTCTTGGGCGTACGGTAGAGATAGGCAGTGTTCGATTCCCGCCTCCTAAAGGTAAGTTTGGAGTTCTTTGCTCTGAAATTTCTTGGCTCCATTTGTCTGTCAGCACTTCAAATTCTTGCCTAGCTGTCGTGTAGCATGGCTGAGCATTAGGCGAAATACCTCGTGCACTCGCCTGCGGTGCTGCACGTTGATGGCCCAGATATAGCGAGTGCTAGCGTCAATGAAGGTGACCTTGTACTGGTCACCCCAAAAATCCACTTGTGTGTGGACTAGCTAATCACTGTAGACCTTGTCTAGTGGTTTGTGGCAAGTTGTGCTAGGTACTAGTCGGGGAAATGGCTGATGCGAGAGGGAGGCTTCGAGAAACATGGGTGCTATCATGAGGCTCACTTCTCAGCGCCAGCTCATCTCCATTGGAGTCGGGTAAAGCCACCTGCCCTCAATGAGTTGTTGAGGGTAGTCTGGGAAGGGTGACCAGGGCGTTCATGCCAGATGTGGCTAGATGCCCATTTAACTGAAGTGCGGCGATAGTTGGGAGTGATATCCTCCATGGGGGTGACTGTGACTGTGAGCGCGTTGCCGAGCATGTATGCGGGAATGGGCTGTTATCTGAGCGTTAGTGTTGGCACATTTGCAGACTCATTTGATCCCCCGGTGGTTGAGAACAGTCGGGGGAGATGAGTTCATGGGGGTCCAAGGATGATGGGTCTCTCTTCCTCCTCTTCAGCTCTGGCAGGAGTTGCTTCCAGCGGGTGATGGCTTTCGGGTGCCGCAGCTGGGCACAGGAGGCGCCAGTTATTTCAGTGTTCTCCTTCAGGGATGCATCCATACTCGGCCTAAGTGCCCGTACATTGGGGAAGACGTCAAAGAGGAACTTGTGAGGTTCCCCCTTGGTTCTCTTCGTCGTCACCACCTTGGTACCAGGCGTGCGAGTTGAGTCATTACCAGGCGGTGGTGGGGTTGATAACGAAGTCCGGAGGTAGAGTTGGTGGTGGAGGTGTTCCCTTGCCTCTTGGTTGTGATTCTTCAGTGTCCACATCCCAAGTGACGCTGCCCCAATCTCTTTGGGGCTGCATGTTGGCCCATGATTTAAATGAATGCAATTATTGCAAGTGACATCGCCATCGGAGCAATATTGGGGCAATTTTTTGGCGACGGATGCGTATGAGTCTTGCAAGCTACAATGTACCGAGCGCAACTACCTATTGTTATGGGTGCATCACAAGTGTAGACACACAACCCCAAGGAGAATATGTAGCCCCATGGTTGTAAATGAGCACAAGAACCTTCTGGTATGGGTGCAACTACCTCATATGTGAGGTACAATCATGTTCTTGTATGCCTCTACTAGTATGGGTGCACCACATAGGCTTTGAGATTGCACCTTACATGCTTCGAGGGGTTTCTTGTGGCGCCTAGAGCTCAGTGGTGGCGTGTTGTAATGGTCGCTGCAAGGGAGTGAAGAGGGACAATTTTTTAAAGCACATTGGGCCGACAATAGCAAGCAGGTGATGCGTAAACCCCCATTTTACTCTCACTGCATCCGTATGCTCGTCTACACGTGTACATGCAAGCATGCCCCCTACATACCGGTAACATACTGCAAGCGAGCGAAGATGAGCAAGATACTTATCAATATGGAGGGCAACTTTGGCAAGCGTGTGAGGCCTCCAGCCTCTACCCCTTTTCTACGTATGTGCATTATGTGATGTCATAAGCATCCGTCTGAACTCATCGGTGTGATGCTAGGGACTAAACATGGGCAGGACACCTATCCACCAGAAGGGCGGCTTTGGCAAGCAAGGGACCTGATTCCTCATGTACGAGAACCTATCAAAGGGCATCTCAAGGTGACTTTTTCCGTTCATCCGTCGCTTACTTCCCTCTCCCTGAACTCTCTTGACTTGTTTTATCCTCCCCTCCTATCCAAACCTGTCACATCCTTCCCCCCTGTCCTCTTGGCCTTCCTTGCCATCTCCCACCAGGTCACATTCGAGAAGCTGCACAGGAACATCGCGCAGAGTGTTAAGTGGTGGTTTGAGGGTTGAGTTGAGGATTGCATCATTTTCCCTCGCTCGTATATTTTCCTTCAACTCTGCCCTCCCCTCTCTCCCCCTCCTGCCCTCCCCTCTCTCTGCCATCTCCCATCAGCTCATACACGAGAGGCTACCCAAAGATATTGCTCGGAGGCACGCCATGCTGCTGGATCGTCTATTGGCTTCAGGTGAGTTAGTTGACACGTCCTTCGCTTTCTTGATTTTGTGTGCATAATCTGTAATTTATCCCACCACACTGGATATGTGGGGATGTAGCTCAGATGGTAGAGCGCTCGCTTAGCATGCGAGAGGTATGGGGATCGATACCCCACTTCTCCAACGGAACAAGACTTGTCGTCTTCAAGAGTGCCTTTTCTTGTTAGCACTTAAGGGCATGTGCTAGTGCTGGTGTTTTTCTGGTTGCGCTACTTTGCTCCACAGAGGGGTGTTTGAGGTATGCATAATTTTCCTCAACCTGATATTCGTGTGTTTGTAAGGGGTGCTGAGTGTTAAATGGTGTATGATGGAGTTGGCTGGTGTTTGCCTCACCACGTCTAGTGTCTGCCTGAGAATTGCATTATCGTCCGCATCCTCCCTTAGTAAGTTCACAAGGAATGCCTCTTTCGCCTTCCACCTATGCTTCATGACACCCATATGTCTCCACTCACCAGCCGCAAATTCATCACCACCTCCGGCTGTAATGGTGTTGTCTCTCCCTTGCCCCGCTGCTCCTGTCGCTATGGATGTCTCGGAATTGGGCCAACTGGGGGTTTTCCAGGCTTCTGGGATATTGAGTTCCAGCATTAGCCACCATCACACAGTTCTCAATATGACTGCGTCTGTCAGCAGGCGTGGTGCCACCACTGGGAGCACAGGCTCTCGTCCAAACAGCAAGTAGTACGACAACATATTCCTCAAAGCTGCCTTTCGCCCAAAGAAGTTGTGTGTCCTAGTCTGGCTTGCGCATTGCCCCTTTTTGACCGTCTACACTAGCTGTTCCATCAGCCCATTACCTTGTGGGTGGTAACGAGAGGTCACTCGATGTTGCATTCTGTACACCCCTAGCAGCTTGTTAAATTCCCCTTGGAACTCGCTGTCCTAGTCTGTCATAACTTCCCCGCACGCTTCGAGGTGAGCCAATACCATCCCCTCAAATGCCCCGGCTACCCCTAGCACCAACTTATTAATAAGATTCTAGCCTTTGCCCACTTGCTAGTGTGCTCGATCAGCATAACTCTGTATCTCCTTACCCCCTCTGTTCACTAGCGGTTCTCCTGTCAGGTCCAATCATCAGCAGTACCCCAGTCCTACGAAGGATAGTAGGCTCTGCACATGTGACCCTTCCCCGAGGACCAAGGGCAACCCCAGCGTGTATCATGACAGAGCGAATGTGGCCATCTGATTTTTTTTATTTTTATTTTTCTTTTTTCGCCCAGTAACGCACCTCATCATGTGCAACTGCCATGCGGAAATAAAATCCGACGTGGCGATGAAATCTAGCTTGATTCACTCGCCACAAGATGATGTTTTGTTTCTTTTTTCGTCAAGAGGTGGCAACCAAGGCATATGTTATCAGAGCATTTGCCCTGACTTCACTGAAATTCTGAGGTAGTTTTTGTACAAGCCCTGATTTTCTCCGGGTTCTACGGGTACAAAATCCGGGAAGGTCTCAAGGCGGCCCTGGAAAATCCGAGTAGAGTTTTTTGCGACCCTGATTTTTCCCACTACCCACACCCTCCCCTCCTGGTGCCCTAGAATAGAGTTTCTCCTACTCCGTAACACCCGTCACTCTTCCTAGGACCCGGCTACCAGGCTTTTATTGTAGTTGGGAAGGAGTACTTCCAACACACCCCTAGAACACACGTGAATCTGATGAGTTGCGGAGCGTGGAACAACCTCAAGAAGAATCCTTGAAAATGTGCGCCCTCCAAGCATTTTTTCGGCTGGCCCTGACAAAACATAGCATTTCAAGATTCGAACCCTGAGTTTTCATGGTGAAATTTGAAGGGAGCCCTAAGTGCCAGAGCTGTTCAAAAACCTAACATAAGCCCTAATGGCAACACCTCTGAGCTCACAACTGGACTAGATGCACTACGTGTTACACATTCAAATGAGGTTCCAATACAACGAACTACAGTGGCGTAAACAATTGTCCGTATGTTTTGCATGAATTAGGGTTTTTAGGCTTTAAGACCACTATATATTAAACCTTAATATTC